CTCTCTCTCTCTCTCTCTCTCTCTCTCTCTCTCTCTCTCTCTCTCTCTCTCTCTCTCTCTCTCTCTCTCTCTCTCTGTGCGTGTGTGTGTGTGTGAGTGTGTGTGAACATGTGTTCTGTGTATGAATAGACGAGAAGAGCGGAAGCCGACAAGATCACGGAAGCTCTCTGCTGCGATCGAATGAATGAATAATTACTCTCCCTCGCAATCCCGAACGGAAGCGTCTCCTCCAGCACAGTTTCGATAGATCCCTGTGTTTGGCGCCGGCGCGCGTTCCACCTTCGTTTTTCAGCCCCTTCCGCTCCCGAGCTGAGGACACTCCGCTGTTACTTTCCTCTGCTGCTCGCCATTAAAAATCTGCTTTCTCGTAACAGTAGTATATATATATATATATCGTCAAATAGAATATATATATATCTTTTTACTACATAATAACAATTTATGTGCTTTGAAGGGAGACTGCGCCAGGCGAGCGACGAAGGTTATGGCCTCCTTCTGCTGATGATGAGCGCCTCTCGCTCTCCCGCCCTTCACAGTCACAGGGCACACGCATGAGGGCGCGACGACCTGCATTTCTCGTCCGCCGGCGGGCCATTTCCGGCATTCCCGCCACCCGCCGCCGAAGAGACACTCTGCTGCTCATCCCCCCCCCCCCGCCCCCCCGGCTTCGCTGTTCCCGCGGTGTCCGGTTACTTCCCACACACAAGCGACGTGTGTTTGAAGGTTTGGGTAATTGTTGTTAATCTTGGCGGCAATTCGACCGTCGGATGAGCGCGGGATTCGGTCCGCTCACAATTGGACTTTCCAGGCCGTATATGGTCTCAATTACGGCCGGATTCCGCGCACAGAAAGTGCGACATCTGTTCTGTAAGTAGGGCCGTAGGCGGCCTACGGACACAGCCTACGGACAGCCAACAGATGGGAAAGATCTGGGTGTCACACGACAGCCGCCGGTGCCCGGCGGCCTGCGCGATCACACACCCCGCGCGCTCGGATGGGCCCGCCGGTCGCAGCATGCGACCGGTAGGCCGCAATTCTCCACTGGGTGACGTGGCAGACAGAGGGGAAGAACAGCATTGTGTCGAAGAGAAGGACGACGGGCGGGAGAAGACGACAACGACGACCAACCAACCAACAAGACGCCGAGAAGCAGAGGAAGAGGACTCCGCCGCCGAACCTGCGCGGTGGCTACCATGCAGGCAACCAGCCGGCGCGAGATAGAGCGCTCGAGCGGCGGGGGACAGGAGGGAAAAGGGCGCGGAACAGTCGGAAGGTCTCGGTGTGCAGCCCGCCGCCCCCCCCGCACCCGCTTGCCGGAAGACACAGGCATCCCTATCCCCACTCCCAACTGTCCCCCTCCCCCTGCCGAGACAAAGAGCTCTCTGCAGCCAACTGCTTCGCAGCAGAGCAGTCTCTGACACAGTCCCCGTTCAGCACTACTGCAGTACCTGTCGTGTCGGAGACTCGCCGCGGAGCGGCGCAGTGGTGGGGTGGCAAGGAGGGCCGTTTGCGGATGCCGGCGGAGCTGTAATGGACACTGGCAGAGCAGTGGCGGCCAGTCGCGCAACTGTAGCGGGCACCAGCTGAGTTGAACCGGGCACCGGCGAGTTCTCGAGCACGAGCCGAGCTGTACCGCACACCGGCGGAGATGTAGCGGCCACCGGCGGAGCTGTACTGCGCGCGGGCGGGGCTGTAGCGGACACTGGCGGAGCGTTGGGAACCGACAGCCCAGCTGACATACGGAGTCCCACGAAAAAAACGGCACACCGCGTGAGCGACCCACAAAAAACAAAAACAAATCAAAAAAATTATACACCATCAGTGGTCGCCCAGCGACGCCCAGAGGGCCTACGCTAGTTCAACCATCCGCCAACATTTGAGTCGAAACGCATCGGGACCGTTTCCCATGTTCAGATTCTTTCAAATGCCCATAAAATAAATCAATCAATAAATAAATAAACAGACAAGACCGCAATTGGACGCTCTCACCCGTCCACAAATTAAAAGGCGAAATCAAGAAGGAAAAAAACAAACAAACAAACAAACAAACAGATTAAAAGGCGAAATCCAAAAAGGGCGATTCCTCAAGCTATCGCATCCTCTGCCTTTTGTCGCCTAACCCACTCCGAGCGACGCTGGGCCAAAGCTTTTAGTTTTTCGTTTTAAATCCCCTCATCCCGACTGTATCGGAACGAAAATATAGCCCTGTACATTCACATAAGCAATCAAGGTAAATTGTGTATGTTATTGTGTATAAGGGGGTGACAGCAGTTGCGCCCGCTACTTTCAGGGAGCGCCAGGCCTCTCGACAACAACCCCGCCCACGGCGATTAAAAAAAAAAAACGAATTGTAAAAAAAAAAAAAAAACGAGAACGACAAACAGGAAAGATTTGGCAGTTGTCTTCTTCTGGGTCAAGTCCCACTAGCAGCGTTGAGCTACCTCAACGCCTGAATCTGGACGTGTTTGGGGAGACGTGCCGCTCAGGAAACTCAACACCAATTCTGCACATCTCCGCAAAAGCGTCCGCATTCATGCGTTAAGGTAGCTCAACGCTGCTAGTTGGACTTGGCCCCGGGTCTTGCCCCCGCTACAGTTGCGGAGCGATCACTACAGCTCCGCGGCCTCCGCCACTGCGCCACCTTCCCACCACCCGCCTTTTCATCGCCGCACACAAGATCGCAGCGCAGCTTCGTCTCCGCACGCATCTCTAGCTCTTAGCAGGGGCAAGGTCCCACTTGCGCAAATTAGGAGATCTCGGCCGTTGATCTTTGCTATCTACGGTCAGTATCTCTTAATTCGTGCAAGTGGGACCTAGCCCCTCCCACCTTTGGGAAAGCGAGGCCCTGCTAATCACAAACACTGGGCGAAGGGGACTCTGGACCCGGGGCTAGGTCCCACTTGCACGAATTAAACCGTCGATAACGGAGATCAACGGCTGCAATCTCCTAATCCGTGCAAGTGGGACCTTGCCCCCGGTTTCCAGCAAGAGCCAAAACTGGGTAATGGGCCCAGTGCAATCCGGGTCGTTTGTGAGGTATTCCCAGCCTCCTTTTTCTTTTCTTTTTTTTTTTTTTTTGGAAAGCATTGAATTTTATTACAAAAAATATATGGGACGAGGCCGGGGACCTTTTTCCCATGGTAATGAAATGTTGAATTCTTCCAAAAAAAAAAAAAAAAAAAAAAAAACTGGGCAGAGGTCCCATTAGCAAAGAGGCTCGGAATGAAGGCCTGAATCTGCACGCGTTGTGGATAGTTTCAGAGAATCAAAATTGATCCGCATTTCTGCATCAATGCGTACAGCCCGAGCAGATTGAGGCCCTTAATCCAATCCTCTTTGTGGGACCTTTGTGGGACCTACACTGGGACGCCGTACCGAACGACCGCCCTCAAAGATATGTTTTTTTTTTCCCCCTCTGCCAAGCCAGACCATGCGGACATGCACCGTCTTATTTTTTATTTTTTTTCCCGTAATCTCCCTTTTTCTTTTTTTTAAAAAAGGGCGACAGCCTTGAGATATTATCATCAGAGCTGACCAGCCCCAAGCAATTCATTAATAGTTGGTTTTACTTGTCGAGTTCCATTATCTGGATTCGAACACAGGTTTATATTTCAACACTTCATGGGTGTACCCACTGAGCTAGTAGTTGGCTTTACTTGTCAAGTTCCATCATCTGGATTCTACGTCTTTTCCAGATTTTTTACAGTCTCTTTTGTAAGGGACTGGATTCTATTGTCTGTTTTTTTTCGAAGCGCGAACAATAAGCCAATTTGGTAAGGGACTGGATTCTATTGCCTGTTTTTTTTCCGGCACCTCAGGGTGAGAGGTCCCTTAACCTGCCTTACCTGGCACGTCCTGGGTCAAGAGGTAGGTATAGCCCCCGGTGGGGCGAGACAACCCGGCTGTCCTTGTTAGTGGCTACTGTGCTGGGACCATGTCCCATATGCACCGTTTAGTTGAGGCAGCTCAACCGTGCGACAGCTAGAAAAAATCATTTTAATTCAATTTCAAATGAGGAATGCATTTATAAATGGCAGGAATACAATTGTTCTCGTTTTTCATTTTTCACAATTGGAGTGGCATACGGGCACTTCCACAGCAGAAAATGAAGAGGTGCCCGAATCCCGCCCAAAAATGGCAAACGGAAGGAGGCTCGTACAGTTTCTCTTGAAAAACGCCTGTTGGGGGAACAAGAGGGTCGTTGAACTAGCTGTCTCGAAAAAAGGAGACAGCTAGTTCAACGGAAAGTGGAGAGGGTAGGGGTAGCAGTATTCGAGAGAAAGGATTTATTTCTGTTTTTTTATGTAAGAAAAAGCGAAGATGGTCTCTATTGCCCTTTTTATTAGAAACGGACCGTTAGATGAATTGGACGACTAGACGACTAGCATCTCCCTTGTCGCGTACAGTCGCACAGGCTCGAAAACCCCACGTTGACCTAGCTCAACGGAGCTAGTGGGACAAGG